TCAAGAAACGAGGGAACACCACTGCCGCGACTTAACGACGTTTGCGGTGCCAACAAAGTTCATTCTTTTTATACCCTGAACCCATTGAAAATGAGTAAAAAAGGTATAATGTATTTGTGCTAATGTATTTAACACGCAGAACGAAGCATCTCCGACCCCGTAAACTATATATATTCTTGATCAGCATCAACAGCCGAGTCGATTTAGCTATGTCCGTCTGTCTGTACGTCTGTCTGTCTGTCCGTCCGTCTGTCCGTCTGTCCGTCCGTCCGTCCGTCTGTCCGTATGTATTAACGCAAGGATCTCAGAACCTATAAGAGCTAGAGAATTTTAGCTGTAGGTCCTCCTTGTGCCCGCGCAGATCGAGTTTGTTTCCGATGTTCGATAAATTGCACCGTTTTCAAGCAATCGATATAAATAGGTAACGAAATCCTGGTTTTTGAGCAATTTTTGTAAATAATAAGAGCTAGAGTCACCAAACTTGACATGTAGCTTTTAGAATAGTAAATATATATCAAGTATCTTTCATTTTATACCTATCGTCACCTCCCCACTACCACCACAAAGCTTTAAATCAAGTTAATACTCCAACGAGTATTGCTTTCCAAGTAAGCCACAATTTATATGCAATTAACTTTTTGAGAATACACAAATATTCTATGTACTGTCGAAAATTTCATCAAGATCGGTTAAGAAACACAATTATTACAGAAAACGTGCTGTGACTTTCCTTTTATCAGCGACAGCAAGCGCAAGAGCTAGAGAAATTGAAATTGAAATAATTGCGGTTGTATTGTTTTATATACTCCTATTTTAATTGGGTTTTTCGCAGACTAAATTCTTGGTGTGGCTGTTGAGTAGAGGCGTTTGCAAAATAGTGTGCTCCGTTACGAGTTCAAGACCTATCGAGGAAACGGTTATTTTTGAAATGTATTTTTATTACTGCTGAAGCAAACGAGCGCGTAGCGCGAGATGAATTTAGTGTCGGTAGAAGAGGGTTCAGGGTATTCCCTAGTCGGGAGCTCCCGACTAGAGCCTCTTATGTGATGGCATTAGCTTTTAAGAGACATGTTCAAACAACAGAATTTCGATAAGTATTTTTATTGATTGGTTGGGAACGGACAGACAGGCGGACATGGCTAGATCGACTCGGCTATTGATACGGATCAAGAATATATACACTTTATAGGGTCGCAGATGCTTCCTTCTGCCTGTTAAATACATTTGCACAAAAACATTATACCCTTTTTACACATTTTCAATGGTTTCAGGGTATACAAAAAAACATATAAAACGAACATGTTATTTGTGTGCCAGCTGAGCGTGTCCACAGCTGGTGTTCGTGATCAAATTCCGTAAAGCTGAACAATATACAGGAGCGATATTCACCGATATTAGAGGCAGGGATTAATGCTGCGCCTGGCCAACAGAGCGTACAGCTCAGACAGAAGTGACAACAGGAACTGAGATAGGATAGGTTAGTTTAAGGTGAGCAGTCCTCAGATAGATTATGTATAATCACCTCAGATAACGTGTGTAGCGAAAGTTATTTTAACATCGCAGAACACGATGCTTAACTTTAAAGCCATAATCGCCAGACTAGATTTCTCTTAAGCCGATAAGACGACTCTAAGAACACTCTAACAGGACCTAGACAATATAATGCAAGGCGACATGCCCCTTATGGAGTTTTATAATGAGGTTTAGAAAAGGCTCACCCTTGTCACAAAAAAAGAGTGATGACACACGAGGCAGCTGCGACCGAAATCCTCAACCAAAAGGCAAGGTCAGATGCGCTGCATGGGTGTCTTAGGAGGTCTTACATGTTGAGCGTATTTCCAGCCCAATCACAGGATTTGTCAACCGCATTGGCCCTGTCAAGGGAAACGAAGAACAGCAACGATAGAAGAGCGATAGAAATTTTAAGCCGGCTGGCAACAGATAGGTTCGAAAATAATCCTAATTTCTCGAGAAAAAATACTCAAAGTGGCAAAGACCAAGCCCTAGTAGCAAGCAGTGGTAACCACAGCGTACATACCCAAAAGACGCAGACCCGTCTATGGTAAAATGTAGACAGGCAACTGATTATAGAAAACAAGCGAATTACAACGTTCCGTCTGATCATCCGCAAGGTCAAAGTGTCAAGGTAATGACGGGGCAAATATGACAAAGGTTAAATAACATTAACCAACAGACCTAGGCTAAGAAATCCGATAAGTACGGAGAGCGGCTTTCTGGGCTGGGAGAAAATTGCAGTTTCTGATCGAGGGGGGTCGGCTAAGAGCTACATTAAGCCCTTAAAGGAACTAAAAGGCGAAGTATCGATCGACTCCCCCTTCAACGTTAGTTCAACACATGTTTCTTACAAAATTTATAAAAAATGCTATCTGAACATTTTTGGGAAAAAATATCCTTTTTATACCCTGAACCCATTAAAAATGGGTAAAAAGGGTATAATGTATTTGTGGAAATGTATGTAACAGGCAGAAGAAAGCATCTCCGACCCCATAAAGTATGTGGTAATAATCACCAATCTCATATATTTACAAGGGTATTATATCTTCGGCGTGTCCAAGATACCCTTACTTTCTCGCTAAAAATTTAAAAGTAATTTCAAAAGTTTTAAGAACCAAATGTGTCAGCTCATTCCACAATACCATTATTACATAATTTGCTGGCACTTTTCGTACCAAACACATATGTGCTGTGCATTTAAATTACATAAGATTTTGTGGATACGCCGTACTAGCTGTGTGTGTCATTTTAAATGAAACTTACGGCCGAATATGTCAGAAATAATGTAAAATGTTACTTAAGCGCACCACTTCTGGAAACGGAAAAACAGGGTATAAACATAAAGTTATGGTTCCTTGGGATCTGAACCATGACCACTCTCAATATACTCCGCAGAATGCACTTTCTTAGGTGAAGATCAAGACAACATAAAACATAAACCCGTTTTTTTGAGCATACTCAGTCAACCAACGCTCTTCAGTCATTAAAAATTTCTCCAAACCAGTTAAGCAACTCAAAGAGCCGAAAATGGGACTGAAATCAGCATGCTTTGACTCGAGCTTAATCAGTATTGGTTTAAAGCACTGGTGAGCAGCACACTAAATTCAGTTGTAAGAAGTGATAACCCTGCGTCTGCTTTGCGAGAAATAAGTGAAAGGCCCCTTTTTGTCTTCCGCCACAAATTTGCGATCTACGCACGACTTATAGAATTGCGGCGAAAAAACAAAGTGACATCGTTACATCGTATCAAATTTTATACCACAACTTGCTATGAAATATAGTAACCAAGACATTTGCCTGCCAATTATTTGCTATAGAAGACCCCTACATGTGAGTGGCTTATTTTTAAGACGTACAAAATATGTGTTTATGGATATGTACATGGCTGTGAATAGGTACATATGCATGAATCTATATGTATATATATACATATAAGCGAATGCTAACACATTTTTGTGTAGAGCTGTGCATGAAAACATATAAAAAAGTTTTATGTAAGCTGTATAGGTGAAAGTTAGGCAATGAAAGCAAATAAACTTAATACTGCGTGCATCTGTATACATTCATAGTATATAAGGTGTTAATTATATTATTTTATTCTTCAATTTTAACAATATAAAATTCTCTGTATTCTACATGTACAGAATTATATTATTTATTTTCATTTTAAATTTTCATCAGCACAGAATTTTATAATTTTTTTATTATCCATTAAAAAGCATTTTAAATTTTTACTGTATATTTACGAAAGGGCATTATCATCTTTTAAGACTGGTTCTTAGCCTGTCGAAAATAATATTTTTTTTAAAACCAGTTCTTTTGTACTCAATATGTGTAGAGAGATAAAAATAAAAATTTATGACGATCGAATAACGAATAAACAAAAAACCAACTGAGAAGTTGGTACATACAAAAAATAAAATATTTGTTTTGTACCTTTCATTCATTTAAAATGGAGTTTAACAAATGTATGTAACAGGCAAGAGAACTCTATTATTATCGACCTGCTATTAACTGTGACCCAGCTACGAAGCTAATTATTGACTGATGCTTCTTTGTGGGTTGATAGTGATAAGTAAGACGGGGGTTTGAAAAATTCGACTAGCAAACGGCGGTCGGAGTTTGTATGAAAAACATCAAAAACAACGGAGCCATATTATTGTATTTTGCAAACGTAACGCCATGAATCTGAGTGACAGAGCGTCGGACTTGCGGCTGCATAAATTCAGCGGAAAGTTGACAATTGTTATTTTTGTTTGTTTAAATTGTTATTATTCTCAAAGAAAAATAAATTATAATATATTTAAAAGAAATATATATATTGACAAATTATTGAGAGTTAACTAACAACAATTTAACAACAATCAAAGCGTAGCTTAGTTGGATAAGTGTCGTAACATTGTATCATACGAATAGATGAGTGACAAAAATTGTTTCATAAAAATATATGATTTATATTTTATTTATATTCAAACAGAAGTATTTTTTTGTGTAAGTGAAATAAGAGGAAAACGAATATGGGCAACAAGAACAGTAATATGTTTCGAAGCTAGCGTTTATTTAGCATGTTGATTGGATCGTAACAGGGACAATGGGCTGTTAAGGTGCCAGGAATAAATACAATTATTAATTATTACAATAATTACAATTACAATAATTAAAACAATATGATTTTGAACATTATTAATTTGACCCCGGTGGCGTCGGTTTGCTCTTTCTTGGCGTGTAATGCATAAAATAGCGAAAATTTGGCGGTTATTTGTGGTTAATTTTTACTTCGTTGCGCGGGAGGGTGGGTCGATGGAACGCGTGATCCCATGTATGCGTGGTGAAAGTTTTACCGTCCCAACCGAAACGCAACCGGAGAACGGTGCGTCGGGAGATGCTTGTAAAAAAAACAAGTTTTTTATACAAAAATGTTTTAGAATTTAAGATGTTTATCTGACTTAAGCTATTTAAATTCATTTTCAAGTTTATTTTTTTTAGGGGATGTCATGGCGAGAACCTGGGTTTAGAAATAGCCAAATCAAGCCCAACTCACGAACATTTCTTATTTTGTGCCTAGTTATCTCCTGTTTTATTCATTACGGCGATGCGCATGGAAGACTTATCGAACCCCCAAGTAGGGCATCGGCTTGGCGTTATGGATTTCAAACTCCGCCAGACTACAATGATCATGAACTCTATTGCGGTGGTTTCACTCGACAGTGGAAGCATAATGGAGGAAAATGTGGGGAGTGTGGCGATGCCTGGGACTTGCCTGAGCCACGCCCACATGAATATGGTGGCCAATGGGGACAGGGTGTTGTTGTTCGAAGCTATTTGCCGAGCTCCGAAATGATTATTCGTGTGGAGTTGACTGCAAGTCATATGGGGTAAGAGAAAAATAGTAAACAAATAAAGTTTATCGGTTAAAAAATTTTATTCACAGGTACTTTGAGTTTAGGTTATGCCCGAAGCCAAGTGCTACGCAGTTTTGCCTTGATCAAAACGTGTTGCCTATAATAAGCGGTTCGCCCTCGCAGCGTAGTCCAACAGACTTGAACAGTCGATTCTATCCCCGTAATGGTAGTCGCATTTATGAAATCAAAGCGCAATTGCCTGGTAAAGTTATTTAGTTTTTTTTCACTGTTTCCGTATTTATTTTATTTTATTTTTGCAGACCTGTTGTGTAATCAATGCGTGCTACAGTGGCGCTATATAGCCGGAAATAATTGGGGCTTATGTGACAATGGAAGCGGTGCAGTTGGCTGTGGTCCTCAAGAGGAGTTTCGGTCATGTTCCGATATCGCATTAACAAAAGATGCTCGTCTGCCCAATCGTCCTATTCGACCTATACTCCGCATTACTACACCTCCTACAACTCCTAAGAATGATCAAGTTGAAGTGAATAATAAACAGTTCACTTCGTTGGTATTCTTGATCGGATTTATTTTATTACTGCTGATATCTGGTTTAGTAATTAGCAGTGTATACATACTCTTTAAGCCTGCCAAGCTAATCGAATGGAGGGATTTATTTCTAAAAAAATTCTGTCAGAAGCAAAAAAAAACACCTTTAGTTAACCTATCACAGAGCAAGCCCGATATATCTATTGGAACTATTGAAAAGTGCGATTACAACAGCAATTCCAGTCAATTGCCAAGTCTGCTGACCACAGCGCCGATTCCACCACCTAGAACAAAACGAGACATGCGTATTAAGGAAATATCCATTATATCCTAAGAATTGTTCCTCTCTGTAAATTGGTATGGGTTAAAATAATTGCTCCCTGAACCTACCCATTAGTATTCTGTGCATTTCTTAACTATATTATTATAAACAAAAAACGGATTATTTTAATTTAATTTAGCAATGATGTATGCGCATATAACTAGTATGGCTTACAATTTAGATTAACTAAAATTTACAGTGGACTGCGTTATTTTAACATAGATATTTTAAGATCAATAATTTTTTGTGATACCAATATATGTTAAAGTTTCCAATATTCAAAAAATAGTTTTTGTATAATAAATAGTTGTCATTTTTAATTCTTACTCAACGAAGTCTTATGGGCATCATGATAAAAAGTTCATATTACCAATTTTACTTAAAATTGGCGCATACTATAAACTTACTATTTTCAAAATGTGTATTGATTTAATTATTTTCGACATTATAGAGGATAACCAAGCATTGAAAACTGACCAAAATATAAAAAAACGGTATTACTTTTTCACTTTACTTTCGATCGAAAAATTCTTGATACACCGATATTTCGACTTACCTGTTAGTTATCCGAATTTTTTCCGAAGTATACTTTATAAATTGTAAATGAAATAATTTGAAGAAAGTTTTGGAAACATTAAGAAAACATACTTTTTTTCGAAGGTAGTTTATTTGCTTTGTAGCAAAGGGAAAAAATAGAATTGATCTGTGGCTGCAATCAGCATTATTTTTAAGCCAAAAATATTTGGCTGCATACAATTGGAAATTATGGAATATGAAGATCTTTCATCATTAAGAGATTGGAAGGCTTTCTAAAAAAGATAACAGCATGTGGTCTACAGTCCAACAATAACATTCGCATACAAATCTAGCATTTTTTCTGTGAAGACAGTATTTTTCTTTCCTATGGTGAACTATTTATTTCTTAGTTTTTGGCGTTTTTAAACGTATATGTTACCAAAACTTGAGTAAATTTCACCGATTTTAACAATCGCAACGCTTATAATATTTCTAGTAATAAATAGGTTACAATAATTTTGAACTATGGTTAAAAAGATATTACAAAAATGTTTTTTTTTTGCTTCTTTTTATTACGAAATATAGGATTTTAAAATTCGGAACAACCAATATTTCATAAAAAATACATTTAATACGAGTCGACAAAGTTGTACACTTCCATGATTAAATACTAAACATTTATGTCTTTCATTGTCTTTGCTGTTATCAATTCGACCATATTTACAGCCTGCGAATTCACAGGTGTTGAAATTGGCAATACGCGCTGTAACTTGTCCTAATTATAGCTCCCTTAAACCCAACAAAATGCTGTATATTGCTATAACTATAGCGTATTAAAGAGTAATAGTAATAGATTACATTTTGTAAGGTTTAGGGGAGCTACATCAAGACTAGTCCTGGAAATACTTCCATCAATTTATTTCCAATTTCTTGTAACAATAATAACACCCTGTGTAAGAGCATTATGTACGAAATGACTAGTCCATAGTTTCTTTAATTAGTCAAGTATCAGTATTGGTTCTCAACAGACGTGTGTTCTGTGCGACTCGACGTAAACCGTGTGCATTTATATCTGCACATACATACATACATATGTATATAGAAAAACTATTTATATCTTACGAATTGTAAAAATAAACGATCAAGTTTTGAAACATTATTTTTCAATGGCGTCGGTGTATAATAGACCATCTGTTCCATTGAGCGGAATTGTGCAAACTGCTCAACAGCTCGATAATTCGGAAACAGATCAAGATAATATTCCATACCATGCTCGTGAGAATGCACTTCCATTCACATATGGAAACGTTCCAGAAGGGTTTGATACAAGCGATTTAAACCATGTCGACAGAAATGTGTGCATTGAGACACTGGAAAACAAAATCATTGAACACAAAAATCCTGAAGCCTGTTCGTATACAATTCGAAAAACCGTTCGACCCAGCATTTCTGCTTCGTGTCCATTGCTGCGAAAGACACCCTCCCGGCAAGAGTTCGAACATATGCTAATGGAACGTAAAGTGCATGATGTACACTCAAAAAGAGACATTTCGATAAAGTTAGCACACGATGAAACAATTCAGAGAGATTTGGATGAACTCCAAAAAACGTTAAACAGGCCTTATCTTGACAGCAAGGACCTAAAAGAAGCGCAGATTGGGTCCATGGAGCTATCTGATGCTGAATCATGTTCTTCTACCAAACAAATATATCCACAATTACAATTGGTGAAAAAGAAGCGATCCAAGACGCCTACCTTTCCATTTGTTCAAAGAACATTTAACTCTGAACGCTGTGTCAGTCCATATCCAACACCCAATATATCAAATACTCCAATGGTTAACGAGAATTCTGCATCAGAGCAAGACAATCGGAATCTTCGGCATGTCTATGGTATCAGTCTCACCAAAGAAGTTGAACCGCGTTTAGTTAAATTTGCAAAAGACTTCTCACAGTTTTGGTATAAGCCTAACATGAGTCGTGAAGAAGCGGTTGATTTATTACGCAATGCGATACCCGGGACATTTCTTATTCGTAACTCAACTACCTACCGAAATGCATTTGGCTTGGTCTTACGGGTAGCCAAGCCACCTCCCGGCTTGGTGACAGGACCAGAATATGGAGATCAACTGGTCCGCCATTTTCTATTAGAGCCAACAACTCGTGGTGTCCGCCTTATGGGATGTACCAATGAACCAATATTTACGTCTTTGTCTGCCTTTGTATATGAGCATTCAATTAACCAAATGTCTCTTCCTTGCACTCTCATAATACCAGATAAGGATCTTCTGCTTATCTTAAATAACGACGAACTCATCTTAAAACAAAAACAAATGCTTGCACAGGGTGCGGCGTGCAATGTGCTCTACTTGTTTCAGGGCGATATGGAATCCCTAACTGGTGACGATGCAGTTCGAAAGGCGGTGCTGGAAATGAACTCAGAGCCTACGCGTGTAGTCCCTTTAGAGGTTCACTTTAAGATATCAGAACAGGGAATTACCTTAACTGACAACACACGTAAAAAGTTTTTCCGACGGCACTATCCGTCAAAGAATATTTCGCACCTGTGTATGGATCCTAATCACTTTTGGAGTGTCCCAGCATCTAACAAAGGATTGGAGCACTCAATCAATAAATCAATATTTGCGTTTATAGCACGCCCCTTGACTGGCTTGAAAGACAACCAATGTCACATCTTTTGTGATATATCCTCCATGCAACCAGCTTCCGCTATAGTTTCATTTGCCCACAAAGTTCTACAACTTGACAATTCAAATTGTAAAATGTTATGAATTCTAATAATCTGTATCCGGTTTTAAATAGTAATCTTATGCGTTCAGATACCTTTATTTAAGATGAGCATCAACAGCCGAGCCGATGAAGCCATTCGTCTGTTAATTTGCCTAAAGGTGACAATCTATACAGGCTCGAGATATTTTTATCAATTCAAAAATAGTTATAACAAGAGAAAACATTAAAGTTATTCAATTAAATATATAAATACTAGCAGATATCTCCCGGTCTTTCCTGTCCACAAATTTTTGTTTTCAACCCCAGTCGCTGAACCAGTATCCATTAAGTTTTTATGTATAGATTTGAAAATAAATTTGAATCCGAACGAACGGTTCTTAAAACATTGGCCATACAAACTTTGACCTACATTTTCCACACAGACACGATGGAATTTCCGAAAAGAGTGAATTATTAAATTTACCTGAATAACTTTTGAAATGAGCTGAAACTTTGCCCATTCAACCTATGGCCCACATCTAAGATAGGTGGATTTTGAGAAAAGTTGGTAAAAAATGTATTTCCTAAAACCGTTTTCCAGGAATTTACCATAGTTGCATGTGGTATTTCCAAAAATCGCTTCGTATTTAAGGCTTAGTAAATATTCTTGAATCCAAACGGAAGATACTTAAAATATTGTCCAACTTTAGTGTGCCCAGATAGAGTAAGACCGCTGAGAGTGGCATCTGAAAGCCGTTCTCGAAATACAACAGAAGCACATCTACCCAATACAAACATATGTATGTTTGTAGATCTCGGGGTTTTTCAGAAGCAATGAGTGGGAGCGAAGCAAACTCTGCACATGCATAAACACATATGTATTTGGGCTGTAAGGATTTAAAACTAACATACATATATTAGCAAATAGCATCAGCCGCAGCGACGTTGTGCGCTGAGCAAGATGCGGCTTCATACTTAACGTTCGGCTTTTGAGGCCGGACGTTCGGCTGCCACTCTTAGCAGTCTTACTCTATCTGGGCACACTAAAATGGCCGCAGGCACCCTTGGGGTTCCCTTGTTGACGATTTATCGGGATACGATTATTCTGCTGTTTGACATGTCTATGCATTTTATGGTTAGTGCTTCCATAAAGACTCGCATGAATGTGAGTTTGTACATATACATATACGGAAACAATTTGCGCTAGCTGCTGCAAACACGTGCCAATATAAGCACACGTTCTTACTACATGTCAAGTTTGGTGACTTAAGATATTAAACCCTAAGAGATTTGCTCAAAAAACAGGATTTCGACGTCGATTTTTATCGATTGCTTGGAAACTTGGCAAGTAATCGATTACGAAACAAGCTCTTCTGCGCGAGCACTAAAAGGACTTACGTCCAAAATTTCGGATGTACAGACGGACAAGGCTAGGCCGACATAGCTATTGATGCTGATGAAGAATATACATATATACTTTATGGGGTCGGAGATGCTTTCTTCTGCGTGTTACATACAAGTTAACACAAACAAATCCGCTTCTGCCGATCCCGCCGAGATGCCGGATGCCCTCGCTACAAACTGCATTGCCCATATTCGTTGACTCTGTATTGCTGCTGGTTAACAGCGACGACATCCGATGCATCGCATGCGCGCGCTGAGTGTCCATCCAGAAGTAGTCACGAGGCGCTAGGTCAGCATTCTGGCGACGGGGCTTCCGCGGCATAAGGGCTTTGGATAATTCTGATCTAAGCTCCAAGTGTTTCATTTACATTATACTCTCTTTACCCATTTTCAATGGGTGCTGGGTATAAAATTGTACTAGGAGAAACTCCAACCAGTATAGTGGCAACTATACATAGTGTCCAAGAGGATATTCAAGGTCATACATAGAAAACTGAAACTACAACTAATAATGGGTATAAAATTGTACTAGTAGAAACTCCAACCAGTATAGTGGCAACTATCCATAGTGCCCAAGAGGATATTGAAGGTCATACATAGAAAACTGAAACTACAACTAATAATTATACAAGAAAAGTCAAATTTCCAAAACCAACACAAATGAAGTAGAAGGAATTAAATACTTTCATAATATTAAAATAATAATCATGTATGTAGAAAAGACTTGTAGTCATGCAAATAAACTTTTAAAAGAATAAATATGTACAAGAAAAAATGGGCTACATTCATATTGTCAGTCCGAATAAAACAACGGAGGTTATGAGATCCACCAATAAATTAACAAACATATAAACTTATGCAGAATTAAAAGAGATTGTTTTTTCTACACTCGCAGAGATCTGTTACACACAGACATAAAGAAATTTTTTTCGCTTTTCAAAGAAAAGTATTACTTTCCCGAATATTAAAAACCTTATTCAGAATAGAATAAATAAGTGTCAGGTATGCAACATTGCAAAAACTGAACACAGAAATAATTAGCTATTATTCGAATTGACCTTAGAAGAAGACCCCAGCGACAAATACGTCATGGACTGGGGACAACTATTGTATATATGTATTCTTAAAAAATGCCTATCTCTATAAATATTACTGTTTGTCCTGACTGAATGACTGACTGATTGGTAATCAACGCACATCAAAACCGTAACAGCTAGGAAGCTGAAATTTTTACTGTAGTTACCTAATGTGATGAAGGTGCACGTTAAGACAGGGTTTCGGGAAATTCCACCCTCAAGTATGCAAAAATCGCGAAAAACGTTTGTATGCAACTTTTTTGGCTACCATCCGATCGACCTCAAACTTAATTCCAAAGATCTTTGTTCAAATTCATTTGAGGGGTGTATCACACTTTTCCAAAAATGTATTCCTCCTTGGTGGAAATGGGGGTCAAAGATTTGGTGGGTGATGTTTCGCGCTTAAATTCATATCTAAGGATCTACATATATGACAAATTATTTGAGACGAATTTCACATTTCAAATTTTTCGCAAAATCAAAGCATACTTGGTCGAAAGTGCGATTCAAATTTTATTTGATGAAGTTTTAAGTTTTGTCCAATTAGCATCGAACTTATTTTCAACCTCTACATAAGAACCTAATGAAAACGTGTTTCAGCGATTTGGGAAATTCCACCCGCAACAGTGGTAAATTGGCGGAAAACGGTTGTATGAAAGTTTCTTGTTTACCATCCGATCGGCTGCAAAAACATTTTCAAAGGTCTTTTTCAAAATTTATCTGATGGGTGTTTCGCACTTTTTGGAAAATCCATCCCTCCTTGGTGGAAATGGGGGTCAAAGATTGGGTAGGTGACGTTTCGCCCTCAAATTCATTCCCAAGCATCTACATAAAAAATCATTGAGGCGTGTTTCACATTTTTCACAAAATCAAAGCTTTCACGGTGGAAAGTGCTATTCAAAGATTGATTGCGTGAAGTTTTAAGTTTTGTCCGATTTGCTTCTAACATATTTTCAAAGCTCCTCATAAGAATTTAATGAATACGTGTCTCAGTGATTTCGGAAATTCCACCCGCAACTGTGGTAAATTTGTGGAAACGCTTGTATGAAAGTTGTTTGTTTAACGTCCGATCAGTTTTAAAATCATTTTCAATGGTTTTTGACAAAATTTATTTTATGCGTGCTATGGCTAAGGCCGGGTTATACCCGCTAGTTAAATATAAATCAATAATAGAGATTGGCTCGAAACCAACTGAGGATTTTTTAATAACATGGGAAAACCATAAGTCCGCTGCATTACAACTATGGTTGAACTCAGAAGATGTAATCATCAATATAACTACAAGTAACTAGGGGATACCCTGAACCCTCTTATTCCAACAGCAAATGCATAATAAAGATAAATTAAAACAGGTAAGAGGTTCTAGTCGGGAGCTACCGACTAGGGGATACCCTGAACCCTCTTCTTCCAACATCAGATGCAGCTCGCGGTTCGCGCTCGTTTGATTTAGTAGTAATAAAGATAAATTTAAAAAAAAAATGTTCCCTTGGCAGGGTTCAAACTCGCAAATGTCCGCATTACTTTCTACACCAGCCAAAAAAAAACAAAATGGCAAGGTTCGAACTCGTAACTGATCGCGCTGCTTTCCGCCACTTCTACTCAATAGCCACAGCAACAATTAAGACTTAATGTGAAAAAAAACGAATTCAAATAGCAGCACAGAAAAAAATACAATCGCAATTGCAATGCTGCTCATAGAATTCAAAGCAGACGCGCATGAATGTGTGTGTGTACATGTATACAGAAAGTCTTGGAAGTTGCGCTTGCTGCTGCACGTGTTTGCAGGCCAAAACACATTTACTTTCGTGTTTCTTAACCGATCTTGATGAAATTTTCAGTAGAAGATCTTATTATACCATAAAATATTTGTGTATTCTCAAAATGACAATTGCATTTAAATTGTGGCTTAATTAGTTAGGCAATATAATTTGGTTTACTAACATAATTTATAGCTTTTAGGTGATAACGGGGAGGTGGCGGTAGCTATAAAATGAAAGATACTTGATATATATATACTATTGTAGAAGCTATATGTCAAGTTTGATGACTCTAGCTCTTATTAGTTACCAAAATTGATCAAAAAACAGGATTTCGATCTGCGCATGGACTAGGAGGACCTACAGCTAAAATTTCAAGTCTCTAACTCTTATAGGTTTTGAGAACCTTGCGTTCATACATAGACGTAGACATAGACAGATGGACGGACAGACAGACAGACGGACATGGCTAAATCGACTCGGCTGTTGATGCTGATCAAGAATATATATACTTTATGGGGTCGGAGATGCTTCCTTCTGCCTGTTACATACATTTGCACAAATACATTATACCCTTTTTACTTATTTTCAATGGGTTCAGGATATAACAAGTAATAGGCTCTAATCTTAAGTTCACGACTTGGGGATACCCTGAACCCTCTTTTGCCAACCCCAAATGCAGCTCGAGCTAAGCGCTCGTTTACTTCAGCAGTAATAAAAAAAAATTAAAAAAAAAATTATTCCTTCGGTATACAATCTGTATGTAACAGGCAGAAGGAAGCATCTCCGACCCATAAAGTATATATCTTCTTCATCAGCATCAATAGCCGAGTCGATCTAGCTTTGTCCGTCTGTCTGTCCGTCCGTTTGTTCGTATGTATGAACGCATGTATGTGAGTCCTCCAAGTGCCCGCGCACAACGAGTTTGTTACCGATATTCCATAACTAAATAAACAAACTAATAAATCAATTATATTGCCCACCATATTTAATTTATTTTTATTACTAGTAAAGCAAACGAGCGTGTAGCGCGAGCTGCATTTGATGTTTGAATAAGAGGGTCCAGGGTAGTCGGTAGCTCCCGACTAAAGCCTCTTACTTGTTCATTACTGCTTAAGCAAGCGCGCTCGTCGCGCAAGGAAGAGGGTTCAGAGTATCCCCTACTCGGGAAGTCCCAACAGAGCCTCTTACTTGTTTTTGATTTAATTTTTGATATGGCTGTCAGATATGATGCGATGGCAAGCAGTGCCCTTAGTTGAAGTTGCTTGCGAGACAACAAACTTATATTTTTTCATTTTTTTATAATAATGCTACTTTATATCCCTTTACCCATTAAATAGGTAAAAACAAGTTTGAAGCTAAGGCAAGTGGGGCGTAGCGCGAGCTGCAATTTGTGTTAGTAGAAGAAAGTTTTTGGTTTCCTCTCGTCTATGAGGTCATGCAAACACAAGACAAACAAATAATTTAATGCCCCTGATGTATATTTATTTTAATTTTCAAACAACCATTTTCAGCTTTCCTGTTTCCATTATAATACTTAACTTACTCCCTAGACTCGGCCGAAGAACCTGTTATTCCTGATATTAATTTCTTTGTAAATTTACGTAACTCCAAGGGATCCTCGTTGTTAAAATCATCCATTACCGATTGCATTTGTTCCTTAAGTCCATCAGCAATCGATGTTGTGATTCGATCTTTGAAAAGGTTTGTTATAGGACTTAAAATAATTCCTGTAAATTCACGAATTAAACGAGCTTGATCCAACTGTACATGAATATTGCTATTATGAGAAATAAGCGTATTATTATATAAATGTTTTTCTGATTTATTACGGCACCTGAATTCAATTATACGAAAGTCGTGAAGATGAAGCTTTGAATTAATTACATTGACAGCAAGCTCAGCATAAACGATCGTGTCATCTAATGAGCCAATCACTTTCCCATATCCCTCAATTGCCATTAACTTTAGCAAAAAGTTATATTCAAACTATAAAGAAGAATATATTTTACACATTTATATAGTAATTTTTATAAATTTAAAAGCATTAATTCATGTATCTTCATATCATATATCTTTTGTTCTATGATAAGCCAAAAAAGTAGTAAAAATATATGATTTCATTGATTTTTATTCCTGATTAAGACGATGAGCTAAGTCAATGAATCCATATCCGTTTGTATGATCAATTATATCACACGAGCAAACATTATAAGAGTTTAAGATTTCACATTTTGATGACAATAAAAACATATTTTGCTCAATTTTTTCAATAGCTCTTCCAGTTTTTAATTATAAATGTGTTTAATCCAGGGCTTTACGGAGTTAAAATATTTATGCAGGTTTAAACAGCTGATTGACTAAATCAAATCTAAATCAAATTAAGTATTATCAATTAATATTCTTAAATTTAAATGATTTGGAGGTGTATACATAAATATTTTTCAATTCTTGCTTTACGTACCTGAAGTTTATTAATTTTTAAATAAAATTTGCTCAAGAACGATTTTCCCTCATATGTCATAAAGGCATTATTGTGCCTTTGTATTCCAGCAAGGTTGTAAACAATTCCGTTATTTAGGTGAAGGCCAGCCTCGTAAGTGATGAAAAAAGGCTTCTTAAAAGTTTATTTATTTATATTAATTGCTAATATTATCGTTTAACTGAAATTAAACTTACAATAGAAATACTCTCTTTCATGTCTGGAAGCTCTAAATGTTCTATTCCCAGCTTTTGAAGATGGGAAAGCACCATGGGCGTCACCACGTCGACTTCGGCATCGATATTGGTCCAGCCGACATCTTCCTTTTCAAAACTGCTCTTTGGCATGGCGTTATCCCCTGCATCACGACGAACACTTTAAGAAGAAGTAAAGCTCTCGGTGGGGATATATAGTTTTAGATTAAGAAGTAAATGAATAAAAAAGTAGAGTACTACTACCCTGAACCCAACGCCGACCTGCCTTTTATAAATATCCTTGCTTTCATACATATATGCATACTGCTTTACAATATATTCAGCGCCTATGCTTCTTCTTCCCTTAGCACCACACTATGGGAAATGCGTCCTTGATTAACTTTCGTGTTTATTGGCTGATCGTTATGAAATTTTCAAATTATGTAAATACCAAAGACCAAGTCTATCTCAAACATAATTTCTATTTTGGGAGAGTGGTGGCGAATGAGCACATCCAAAATTTCATCCATTTGAAACGAATTTATCGTCCACGAAGGCTGGAAATTGCGAAATGTTTGAAACACATTTCGGATAAATTTTCAGAAAGATCTTCGAAATGGATTTTGAAGCCGATCGAATGAGAATTTTATAATTTTCATGCAGCCATTTTCACGCCAAATTTGTAATTTTGCTTCAAGCCAATCGGACAAAACTTCAAAACTTTCCTCTGGAAAAGAAAATGTGAAACACATATCAAATGATTTTTCATAAAGACCTTATCAAATGAGCTTACAGTAGAAATTTCGCCTTTGACCCGCGTTTGTCACCCAAAAGCGGCGTAGTTTGCGAAAAGTTTTAATCACATATCAGGAGAATTATTACAAATACAAACTTTTGTTACAGTTTTCCATACTTGGCGACCAAGTTCCAAAAAACATCGACTTAGCGCACACCTCCATCTTATAAGATAGTAACAGTAAAATATTCAGCTTCCCAACTCTTACGGCTTAGGCTATACGTTATTCAACAATCAGTCAGTCAGGACGAAACTCTAAAGATGATATGGCACAATAAAAGATCCCAGGGTAGTCTCCACACCCTCCCATTGACATTTTGGTGGCGCCGCTATTCTAAACCGGAGTGGAATCTCGCACTTTTCAACGCCACCCAATGCACATCGAACCTGCGAATAGCCACTGTAATCGTCTCGACGCCATCCGGAGACATTATATATTGCCAGCTCAGCTGTATATGCGATCCAGAGGTAGCGTACTGGACCCATTAGAAATGCCTGTTCACTGTTAAATAGCCGCAGCGCCAGGTCCCCAGTCTTGCTGCATTTGCAGCTCAGAACTACCTGTCACAACAGTATGCCTTACAATAAAATGACAAAACCCGCCAGCTCTAAGGATAAACATACACGATCGGTCGCAAATTAAGTTCTTGTTAATTTAATATTAAGTTAGGATATTTTATAGTTGGCGAAAGAAAACTAAAAAAAAGGGTTTTTTCTGAGACAAGGGCCTCTCTTCAGACTACTTTTACACCCTGTTACCGCCCGAGAAAAATATTAAAACTACAATCTTAAACTCCACGTTTATTTGAAAACATTTTTTAACTCATGATGAACATCTTGAGACAGAAAAAAAAAACTTTCGTTTATTAAAAACTTTGCCCTCTTTATATATCCAAGAGCGGAGAATTTTGCCAAAAATAAATGTTCACAAGGATCTTCCGATGGTAATCTAAAAATTGGCAAATTCGCCGCCAAATTTCCACAATTGCGGATTGAAGTTCCCAACTCGCTAAAAACGCATTTATTAAGTTCTTATGTAGGGTTTTGAAAATAAGTTTGAAGCCGGTCAGGCGAAACTTAAAACTTCACGCTTATACCCTTTCATCCGCAAATATCATCAAAGAGGGGTTTTGCAAAATTTTTGAAAATTGTCCTTCCGGTGTGAAGTCACTGGTTGATCTCGGAGGTATAAATTTGAAACATCACACCACATAATACTCAAGCATCAATTTTAAATTAATTTTGAAACAAGCATTACTCCGAGAATTAAAAGCTGCATGCACCATACTTAATGAGTTTGAGTTTGAAGCCGATCCGATGGAATTTCAGGTTAATATTTAGTTTTGAAGTAATGCTTTGAGAATAAATATGAGGCCGATCGGTCGAAAATTTAATTATCGCCCTTAAGCCTTTCATCATTTATCATCCAAGAGGGAGGGATTTTACGAAAAGTGTGAAACGCGTGTCAAATGATTGCGCCTACACCCTGCAGCCTAATTTACCACAGCTTTCAATGCAATTTTCAAAGTTTGATGCAAGCTAATTGTTATAGAAACTGTGCCACTTTACTCGCATATTTTATTCATTAGCAAAAAGGTTTAAATATATTTTACATAATTGTGCCATTCTCATGACTGTCTCTAGAGAGTCGTTTCCAGGAACCAAGAGCTGATCCCGTTCCGTACCCGTTCACGACTAAGCTATGATTTATCGATTATATATATTTTAACAAGGGGATAAGACTGCCCCATCCACTCCCCCTTCAATGCTGCAATTAAGTTGCAAAATGAACATATTTTTTGGGTGGAAGTACTTTCCGTCCGCTACGAGTGGTAATATGGGGTGTTGGTTGCAGCAGTTAGTTGCAGGTGAAGATGATGTTGCATCGTTTGCTTCTAAGTAAGCTGCCTTAATACGGTCGATAGTTACAGTGTTATGCTTGCCGTTGATATCGATTACAAATCGCTTATCGTTGCGGCTGATAACTAGAAATGGCCCCCCGTAAGTTGCTTTGATGAGCGCTTTGACTGTGTCATCACGTAGGAAAATGTGTGTACATGTTTTCAGATCCTTTTGCACGAATACTTTGGTGGTAGCGTGGTGTCATGTATTTACAGGATTCAGCTGCATCAGCTTTCGATGCATTCTTCGGCAGATTTCTGGAAAAATTCACCCGGCAGCTTTAAAGTTCTCCCGTAAACCATTTCAGCTGGAGAGGCGTTGAGATCTTCTTTAAATGTTGCTCGTAGGCCAAGAAGTACGATGGGCAGGCGATTGGTCTTGCTGGAATCCGTGAGACAATTAATGGCGGTCTTCAGCGTCCTGTGCATTCTTTCTATTATGCCGTTGGCTTGTGGGTGGTATGCTGTTGTTCGCAGATGCTTGGATCCCGTCAACTGTGTAAGCTCCTTAAACAATTTAGACTCAAACTGTCTGCCGTGATCGGTAGTTATGAAGTGTGGCATGCCGTAGTTTGCGATCCAACCATGCAATAAAGCTTTAGCTACAGCTTTCTCTGCCGTTATGTCTGCTATTGGGACTGCCGCCGGCCAGCGTGAGAATCGGTCAATGCACGGCAGACAGTACCTGTAATTGTTGGGCAGTGGCAAAGGGCCAATTAGATCAATGTGGATATGTTCGAATCGCTTTTCAGGCAGGTTGAACTTTTGAGGCGCTGCTTTGTTGTGCCTGTTGACTTTAGACTGCTGGCAGCTGATGCAGTTGTTTACCATTTCAGCGAAGTTTCTTTTCATGTCTCTCCAGACAAAACGTTCGGTTATGAGTTTCACTGTAGCGCGCTTACCTGTGATAAGTTATGAATGGAATTGACGAAATGTCGCAGTATAACAATATCCTTTAGTCGTCAAGTTGGATTTGTTTTCGCTGTAGGGAAGAATGCTCAATAAGCTGTTGCAATTCCGCATCTGCTTGTTGACTTAAGGCTAGCTCCTTAAAATCTATTTGATCGTCGTTAAAGATCGCTTCAACTCTGGACAGCGTATCTGCGACGACGTTTTGTTAGCCCGCAATGTGCTGGATATCCGTTGTGTATTCGCTGATAATGCTGAATTGTCGAGTTTGCTTTGGTGTCGTTTTGTCTGGATTCTGCTATAAAGCAAAGGTAAGCTGCTTATGGTCGGTCAGTAATATGCAGCTGCGCCCTTCGATTATATGTGCAAAGTATTTGACGGACAGAATGATCGCCAGCAACTCACGGTCATAAGTACTTAGCTTTTTCTGCAATTCCGATATCCATTTAGAGAAGAAACCGAGCGGCTTGAGGGATCCGGTTCGCAACTCACTCAAGGCAGAAGTTACTCGCGTCAACGTGCAGTACCAGTTCAGCATTTGCGGACGGATACGCTTATCTTGTCACGCGTGCTAAATCAGATGCTGTACTGTATTCGTGAAGAAGTAGTTCGAAGCGATCGTTGCTCACTGGAGACACAGTGAGGAGTTTGTCGAATTCCACACTGCACGTTGCGCCCGTTATGTTCAGCTTTGTAGAGCTGTCCGTAAGGAGTTTTCTGCGTACGTCGACCAGCAGCCCGTATTCGTGTAGGAAATCAGCTCCAATGATTGGTTTCGTCAGCGATGACAAATGTACGATTCCAGGTTTCTGTATGACGCAAACGTTCAGCGATAACGTTTTTTTATTATAACTGTTTGTTATTTTGTTTGTTGAATGAACTAAAAGATCATGAAAGCAGCTTAGATGTAGTTTTAAACTTTAAAGAGTTACAAAATTATATGTGCGAGCGATGCTTACGAGTTATTGGTATCGACTGACTCTAATTTGTTAACATCCTGTAATCATACGAGAGACCTCTGCTAATTAACAGACGACGCGATCAGAACCGACAGCCACTGCGTGTTAGACGTTAATTATCATATCCTAATCCGGCTGTCCTGACGGACAATTCGCCTCGGATTTGTCAAGCCACGGTTTCATGAACTCTGCCACTCCCAATGTCTTACACGGGCCTTCTATATATGCTATTTTTTCTACCTCTTACCTCATTGTTTACCTTCACAACTTTATACGGTCCGAAATACTTTCCCTTAAGCTTCAAGCCTGTCCCGTATTGTGTACGCTTTATAGTTACCATGTCAATAACTTGATATTGTCTGTCTGATTTTCTCTTAGAGTCGAAAGCTTTTTTATTTTCTTCCTGTATTTTCTTAATATTTTCACGAGCTTCCTCTCTAAATTTTTCACGTTCATCGTCGAACTCTGTAATTAACGACTGCTTCACTAATTCTCTTAAGTTCGGCTCGCTACTTATACACATGTCGATTCCAGTTAATATCTTGCAAGGTGAGACTTTAGTGCTTCGCGGCTTTACACTATTTATGATTTGCTGAACTTTACTTAAGTGTTTGTA